GCCGCTGTGCAGCTGCTGGCAGGGCTCAAGAATGAGCCACAAGGCAGAGCGGAGCAAGTGAGTTCCGCTAGTGATCAGTGAGCGTCCACCAACGAATGGCAATAGTTCCCATCTAAAGCGGCAAGACAGAGAGCCCGCAGCTCAATGGGTAGAGTGTTGGACTTCTAATCAACAGGTCGCCAGTTCTAGCCTCGGGCGGTGCACCATCTCTGCTTGGGATGACCGGCTAATGAGTCAGAAATGGCGATTCCCGTCTTTCTTGTCTTTGCTAGCAATGCTTATCTGCTCCAGGGTTATTCCAACTCCTTTTATTGTTTACCAGAGCTTTTTTTCAAACTATAATTTTTAAATTCCTCTATCAAGGCAGTACCATGAACAAAGTAGTTCTAATATCAGTAAAAGAGGTGGTAAAAGGTGATGCAGAAATCATTCTCGCACCTACCGCTGGAACTGGTGTTCATTTACCCTTTTTATGAAAATAATCGCTGCCGTCGCACACTCTGGTGCAGTTGTGCTGTGTGAACCCTCACAACTAAGGTTGAACTTGACTCCAGTCATTGGTATTCCCAAGCTAATTTTCATTTAAAATAGACACATAATGAAAATTTTCTGACTGACTAAAAAAGACAGCTGTCCGAAGTATACGACCTGGAGTTAGAAATAAAAAATATACACTAGTCCAATAAACGTTGGCTACTTTGCATGCTCTTTATAATGAGAAGACATGAATGCATTACCTAAGTCAGATAGCATCAAGCTGTATATCTGGATACTTTGATAGGAATGAATGGAATAACGTCAGATTTTTTAAATCCGGTACTGTACTGGTACTGTTAATTGTACTGGTACGTACACACGTGGTTGAAGTGCATAGTAATTTATGGATTTAAAAGAGCAATTTGCCTTGCTAAAGGCGCGTTGCTATGTTTTGCAAATATAACTCTTATAAAATGATATGCGCTCATCCAGACTATCATCATTCTGTTTCTCTTACGGGATGATCTGACTATTTTTATTCATGCATATTTTTTACTCTTTACCTGTTTTTCATTGAATTTTTATTTCTAGCAAAATGGGACGCCCTGTTGCCTCCAAGGGGAGACTTACCGTAGAAATATCACTTATGAATTTCCAGGTAGCTTCAAGTATTCCTTAATAGAAATTGTTTAACACAACACTTTTTATACATGCAAAAATATGTTTGTAATAGCAAATATCAGATAATCTTATAACTGGCAGCTCCAACCATTCCTAGATAAGTGACACGAAACCGTTTACAGGCTT